AAAGAAACTAGAAGGGAATACATAAGAATACTGGCAGTGGTTTCCTCGAAGTATTGGAATTATGGGTGATGGAGTTTGGTGAAGATTTTTTAAATGTATTTCTGTACTCTTTAAATGTGCATGTGCTTTATTTATGATAACATAAATACTTCTTAAATGTCTGCAACTCTTGAAAAGTAATGTTTCAAGATAAGTATGCTGCTAAATATTTTAAGAATTTACCTCATTCTAATATAAGGGATGAATCTGAAAGGACACCATCTATAAAAGAGATGAGATATGTTCTGTGTCAGTGTAGGTAGGACAGTGATCAGCAGGTAATAGACACAGAAGAATAGATTTCAACTCAGTATAAGCAAGAGTTTTTTGATACTTAGAGCTGTCCTGGAATGGGATACAATAGGTTCTCTCAAGATGCTGTGCACTGGAAGTGGTCAAGCAGAGCCAGAGGGCTTTTTGCCCTAGCAGATGGTGAAGGTAGAAAGATGAGGAGACAGTGTCAGTGATGGCGAACCTATGACACACGTGTCAGAGGTGACACGTGAACTCATTTTTTTGGTTGATTTTTCTTTGTTAAATGGCATTTACATATATAAAATAAATATCAAAAATATAAATCTTTGTTTTACTATGGTTGCAAATATCAAAAAATTTCTATATGTGACACGGCACCAGAGTTAAGTTAGGGTTTTTCAAAATGCTGACACGCCGAGCTCAAAAGGTTCGCCATCACTGGACTAGATGATCTCTAGTGCCCTTTTCACTGCTAACATTTTATCAATTTGTCATTCATTCACTTATTCATATGACCTCCAAGATGGTCCCCAATCATCCTTGCCTACTGATGGCCATGCCTTGTTTAATACCTCCCACATTGAAGGAGCTGATTCATGGAACAGGATATTGTAGAAAGGAGGGAGTAGACTTCAGAGGCTAGGCCACAAAAGATATGGTGGTTTCCGCCTTCTCTTTCCTGAGTTGCTCACTGTGGAATAAGTCAGCTGCCACGTCATGAGGACAGTAAAGCAGCCTGCAGAGAGGCCCATGTGGAGAGGAAATGAGGATTCCTTGCCAACAACCAGTAAAAACTTGCCAGCTATTAGAGTGATTCCCCTTGGAAGCAGATCGTCCAGCCCCAGCAAAGCCTTCAGATGACTGCATCCCCAGCCTTCAACTTCACTGCAACTTCACGACAAACCTAAGTCAGAACAACTCAGTAAAGCCATGCCAGAATTCTTTACCCACAAGGACACTAAGTTTGGCAGTAATTTGTTATGTAGCATTAGATATCAATACAACACATTTTTACCTGATTTGTTTCACAACAAATTTGACATAATATTCTTTGATTCAGTCACTCTATTGCTAATAAGAGTTTCTTAAGGAGGCAAAATCCTGAGCTGCACAATAGCAGCCTATTCATTTAATAGTCTGGTTTAGCTCAACACAGTTGGGGGTCTTAACACATTCCAATAAGAACAATGACAACTTGGCTTTAGAATGATTCATCTTATTTCTTTTCCAATAGAAGAAAAAGAAATGTGTCTGTAGTTGTGGCTATAATTGTGTCATTTATATTTCTCAGCTTCTACCCATCAATATGCTCAGAAGAAAGATATGCTAGAAATTGCAAGAAAGCATTTTAAAAGGCTTTTTTTCAGCATTATAATACCTAGCATGGAGATTTGTTTTATCTGTTTAAACAAACCAAAGGCAAAGACAAAAATTCTATGAATTGTTCTCATAAATAGATGACTAAATCACCTCTAAAGTTTTTTTTAATCCCATGTTTTAACATCTGAAAGTTATAAGATATTCTGGGTAAGCTTGATTATCAAAGAATACCACAAATAAATTTGGATGTTGTATATCATCTGTGACAGAGTCAAACAGATCTATGGAATTGTAAGGGTTCTTTGGTGGAGGCGTAACTATTCCTTCACGTCCAAGTGTGTAGACTCCTGTAAGTACTCGTACAACATAAATATGTTTCCTCCCATTGCTGTCTGGTCTGGAGTATTTATCATCAGCGGAATAACTGGCATCAACAGCAAAATAAGTTCCTTTTCCATAGGCTACAGCTGCAGAGAGAAAGATAAAACCCTTCATAAGAACATAAAATTATCACAGTGTACAGAACCATACCCAAACCTAAAAATTAAATAAAATTTTAATGCAGCTCTTGGTCACCACAGCCACTTTTTATCATTTCTAAAATTCCCTTCATCTGTCCTGGAAAGGTTGCCAGTCTCCTTTTGGGTGAAACAGAATGAGCTCTATCCTGACAATGACAGTATGGCTGCCATCTAGGGCTACACTGCTTGGGTATGAATAGTCAACATTAGAACATCCATTCACCTCGTTCTGACCAGTAAGATTACTTGCTTCCTTACCATTCTTCCCAGCATAACTGCGATTAAAGCCGTGCTGATTGACGTGTGGCACAGAGTGTGCATCTGTCCCATGGAAGAGGATTTTCTCATTATCTATATGGCCATTCTTGATGTCCATGTGCTTTTTCTTTATCTGGTAGCTCTGCCAGAGAAATTCATTCTGTATCTTCTCAATCTACAAATGACAAAGAGCAAAACATTTGAATATGACCATAAAGCTCAATGTAGTGTTTGCTGCGGCCTTTAAGCAATATAGAGGAGGAGGAGAAGGAGAAGAAAATGCAAATAAACAGCAAATTTAGAGTGGGTACTGACAAGAGAGAAAAATTCTGAGATGTTCTAAACTGAATTACAATGGGCTGGTCTGTGGAAGACCAAACAGCTAACAAGATTGCTCTCATTCCTGAGTATATGTTGGACTGTGAATTCACTTCTAAGCGGCCATTGCTGAGATTATCTAAAGGAGAGAATAGCCAGGCACCACCAAACCCCAGGAGCCTCAGCTTCTTATTTACACATTTACTTTCCAGATTGTTGCTCACCATGAATCTGAATGAGCAGACACTCTGCCTGACCAACTCTGTGCCTATCTCAGAACTAGTCCGGCTTCATCTTTCCCCACACTCTTTCTCTACCTACAGCCAATGTACACTCTTTCAAACTAGTACTTACATCTTCTTCCCCCTACTTGATGCAAAATCCTCGGTGACTCCAGGAGGGTGAGCCTGCTATATTTTCCACCTGGCACTGCTGCAGGAGGTTTAGACTTCACACCTCAGGACCTGGTCATTTTTCTTGGTAGCAATGACCCAAAAAGCCCTTTCTTTTCAAAAGACTTTCAGCCGTGGAAGTTACAAATTTTCTTTAACAGTAGCTATTTTTAGAAAAGGGGCAGCCTAAAAGCATCTGTATGTTATAATACTACTTATTATTGGTATCTATTTTACATAAAAGAACTTAAAATTTATATTAAAATGTTTACCTGGAATTCCTAGAAATTTATTGACATTCAAACACCTACTCATTTGTAATCATTTAATAATTATTTCCATAATTCCTTCTGATCTCCCAATCATATTCTTTCTTCATTGCTCCAATTATGGTCACAGATCACCTCATAACTGCCTAATTTAATGACTATTTCTTTCCAGAGATATCAACAGCATTTTAAACCATGAACCATCCTCTCCTTGGAACTTTGTTCTTTAACTTTTTTTCAGGAAATCATTCTCTGTTGGTTCTCATTCCTTCTAGAAAATGAATTTAGTTCACTAATCATCTATTGAACATCTAGTATGAATCAAGCACTGTGTTGGGTCTCTGCCCTTAAAACACTTTCAGTCTAGAGGGAGAGAAAGACAAGAAAACAGATCACCACCCCTCACTGTGAGAAGGGATGGATTAGGAGAACATACACAGAGTAGGAAAGCATCAGAAAGAGATCCAGATAATCTACTCTCGGGGGAGAGTAGGAAATCTGAGCAAATGGTGTTCTGGAAAGAAAGACAAAAGAAGGATCGAAGAAGAAGGGAGTGGACAACTGTAGCAGATATTTAGGGGAAGCCAAGTGATAAAGGCAGAGGGAAAGTTAAAAGCCTCATGATGAAGATTTGGAATAGGAAATGCATGAGGAGGTTGACTGGAGGAAGCAAGGGAGGATTCCAGGTACCTGAAGGGTCCAACTAAGGTTGGAGATCATGAATTAGTAATGATTTTACTTAGCAGCAGCAGGAGAGAAGGTAGGTTATAGAATTAATCCAAAGTTGGTGTTTTTCAAAATGGGTATGATAGAAGGACAAGAGCCAAGAACATTACAGAAATTGGGTAAACAAATTAAAGCGAGGTTCCAGTACTCTCAACAGCTTTGAACATAATGAAGCATCTCCTCCTTTAAATATGTCCCTTCCACAATCTCTCTTTACTGGTTCTTCTTTCTCAGGAATTTTTACTCATTCCTTCCATAGGTATTGTGTCCCACAATATACTAAGTACGGGAATGCAGAGATGAGTAGGAGGTGATTCCTACCTTACAAAGTCCGCAGTCAAACAGGGGAGCCAGGCATGTGCTAAGTTACCAAAGCACAATTTCATAAGTGCTCTAATGTAGTTAAGTACACAGTTTTATGGAAGAACCAGCTAGATTTTAAATTACTAGGCTGTCACACCCTGCTCTGATACCTATGGTATGATAAGGACCTTCTAATAAACTCCTACACTTCACTGGCTACTATTTTTATGCAGCATAGTGAATGGACATTGTAGAATCTCTGAACATCTATTCCACTTCATCCCCATTATGGAGCAACTTCTGGTTTGGGTGAAGTTGGCCCTCCTTATAGTTCTAGAATGGAGCCCAATTGGGTTAAATAAATCTCATGATGGGTTCCAATAGCCCAGGTCTAAGGCAATCAGTATATAGTAACTTCCCCAACCCGGACTGGTTGGAGTGGTCCACTCAACACAAAGACTGGTACTCTTTATCTGTTCATTGTGGGACTGAGCACAGAGTCTCTTCTGAAGAATATGAATGGAGGAAGCCGAGACTCTCTGGTTGCCACCAGCAGCCATCCTATAATCACGAAGGGACTCCTGCCTTCAAACGAGGCTGACACTGTGAACAGCAAATCAAACTGCTCCAATCACCGTCCTGCTTCTGGACTTTCCATTAATTGTCAATACATTTCTTCTTTCTAATCAGTTTCAGTGGGTTTTTGAATTGTAAGTGAAAGTATCCCAACACATATATGTAACTTTTGGGAGTCTCCTTTGTTATTGTGAATGCATGAATCATGAGATTTGAAGTCTATGGAACTTGCATGAGTCCAATTAAAACATAAGGTATAAAAGAAGAAAGAGTCTTATATAAAAAGATAGTTTTCATGTTAGTTCTTCAATATTTAAAAGAAGTCATTTTTAAAATGCAATATTACCTTCTCTATTCTGTAGGAAAGACAAGTCTGAGAGAATTTGTTCTTCACAGTGTCATATTCTGACTGTCCAGGTTGTAGCTGGATCATACGAAACAGCTGCTGATTCATGTCAGACCGGTATTCAGGAATATTATCTGGAAATTTAGCATTGGGTGAAACATGAGCTATATCTCTGAAAACCTAGGCATTTTTAATGCTCTTTGTTCTCATTCTTCTAATCCTAGTCTTTGGGGTGGGAGGAAGCTACACACTCTACTATCCTAAATTTGATAAACACAGATGAAATGAACAGTTCTGACACTAATATGACATAGGTTAATTAATGGTTTAGCAAAAATATTTAGATAAACTTAGATTCACTATAGCTTGAAATGATAATTTTCCCAGAAATTTCTATGGAATTAATGCCATAAGAAGCTAATATGTAAACATGAAAACTAATTTATTGGTGTTTTCACTTTTATCAGTTCTATTTAGTGTGGTTCTTTACTATTTTTCTTTTGCAACATGATTATCCTGCTAAAGATATTTAAAACACATTGTTCTGTATCCCATCTTCCTTGCTAAGTAAACACCACCTAAAGAAAATAACAGAAGTGCTCAGTGAATGCTTTCACATAAAGTGGTGATGCTCAAAGTTTCCATTTGCTTTCCAATAACTTCCAGAAACTTTAAACACACTAAGCTACACAGACATCAGCGTCCTGAGGTGGTATGACTAATAGAAATATGGACAGATTGTATTAGAGAAGAAAATGCCACAATGCCACAGATTAAAACCAAAGGATTTCTCCTTGCAAACAAAGCCACAATTTACCCATTTTTAGTGAAAGATATGCCAGGCCTGGGAGAGGGATCTAGGGCACTCCCATCCTGTTTTCCAAGTCCATTCAGGGAATGAAATCCTAGTGACAAAGTGAAGCATCTCACCCTAATCTGGGAGATCTTTTCAAATTCCATTTTCAAAGACTTTTTCTGGAAAAGTTTCCCCATGGTAGGGTGTATAGTTTCTGCAAATTCAGTTCTTTTCTTTCCCCCACTGTCCACCCCTTCCAGATCTTTTGGCCTAATCATTTCTAGTCCTAGGGGCTAGAATCCTCTTGGACCTGTTCTTTGTTTTTCTGAATGCAGCAGGCAAGATGGAAAGAAAGGGGAGTGTTTCTTTGGGCCCTCCCTTCCTTTCACGCCAAGAGCTTACAGAGCAGAAAACTACCAGCACTTGGAGTCAGAAGACCTGATAAGCCTCAACCTGTGACCAGCCATGAAAATCTTCATTTTCTCATCTGTAAACTGGAGATAATAAGATCTGTTCTCTCTACCACCCCATGACATTGTTACAAGTTTAAAATAAAGTAGGAGACATTAAAGCACTTTAGGAGATGCCAAGTCCTTTATAAACAAATACATGGTTATTGTACTTAAAAAATGATCACTCTTGATCTTTTCTACAGCCCAGTGCTTCATAAAAAAACATCTGAACCACCTTTCTTTAAGAGTACTGGGCACTTTGTTGAGCTCTTTCCCTATAAATCTCTTTTAAAAGATAAACCTCTCTCTCCTTTCCCATTCCCAGTGTTGAAGACAAATGCCCTCCTACACCTTTCCTTGTACGCCTGCCTCAGCCTCCTCTCCACGAGTGAAGGTGGGATTAAACACCAAGAATCCTGGCTCTGCCTTCAGTGTCCACTCTCTTCACCTTTTATACTCTCCACAGATAATCCAACTCATGCTCAATGGCTTCAACTCCCATCCACTTACATGACTCCCAAATATATATCTCTAGTGTCTGATATACAGTTGGTGCTCAATAAATTCTCTCTGAATCAATAAATAGTTTTAATATACATTGGAAAGTAACCGTGTATCATCTGCTCAAATGAAACTCAAAGCTATCCCTTTTAAGTTCTATTTTAAAGAAGTCCACATGAGCCCTGGCTGGTGTGGCTCAGTTGGTTGAAGTATGGTCCCATGCACTGAAAGGTTGTGGGTTTGATTCCCCGTCAGGACACATACCTAGGATTCGGGTTCGATCCTGGTTGGGAAGTGTACACAAGGCAACTGATCAATGTTTCTCTCTCTCTCTCTGTCCATTTCCCTCTCTCTAAAAGCAATAAACATATCTTCCTGTGAGGATTTTTAAAAATAACAATAAAATAAAGAAGTCCATATGATAAATTCTTACTAAAATTGAAGTTTGTCTTTGCCAATAAACTTCCTTTTTATCTGACATTTTATCAGTATTATTCCTATTATATAACAACAAAGATTATGTGAGGCAGTTTTGTTGTTGTTTGTTTTTGCCTCAAGTACCATATGATCACCTATCTGCTTATTTTAGTCATTTTTTGTTTCCTTCCTTCTTTAACATTCCTGTTTTATTATGTAAATTTCATGTCAATTTAAATTCTTGAGAACAAGTTTAACTTTATTTTTTTTACTTTACTAATAATGACTTACTGCTTTTATATTTAAATAAAAAATATCCTCTATAAAGACCAAAGGGAGAAAATGTTCATTTATACATCCCTAGATACTATAGGAGATATTATTTGTTATATTTAACTGTCTGGCATCCTTTTCTGGGAAAAGCATCCTGAATTTCCTTTGGAAGACAACCCTTCTCCATTGCTTCAGACAGTGACCCCCTCCAGTTTAAGTATAGAGCCTGTGACTCTGGCTTGACCAGTTAGTATAATTCTGCAAAGATTACCTAAGCTGGTCCAATCAAGAAGGAATCACAGGCCTTATAATGGTACTTCTGTTCCCAAGCATCATATTCCTGATGAGATATATTGCTATTCTCTCTCTCCTATTGGGCCTGATCATACAAGGATATGGACCTGAAGCTGCGAGCAGCCATCTCTCACTATGTGGAGCCTGATAATAAAGACAACACAGCTGAGAAGAGAATGAGAGATAAAGAAAGTCAGAGTCCAGATGATATCAAATGAGCAACTGGGTCAAACTGGGCCTGAAGCCAAGTATGTCTGGACTTTATAGAAATGTGAGTCAATGAATTCCATTTTTTGCTTACGCTAGTTTAAAGTGGATTTTCTATTACTTGCTACTGCCAAATCTACTAGTATTTTTATTTATTTTGTGTGTGTGCATGGAGCTCTTACATGTACTGTGTGTTGCAGCACATTGAAGAGAATAGTTATCAGGAAATAAGTGGAAGGAGAAATGAAATTCTTACTGACAGACAACAATTCTCAGTTTCGGAAGGCTGCTGGTGACAGGTATGCCTCATTGCCAGTAAAACTCAGTGCTTTCTGGGTAAGTGCTCATAAAAAGGGTAAAAACAGTGGTTGCAAGAGGAGGCTACATTTCTAGTTATTTTAACAGCAATATGGAAGTCACAAAATGGGAGAAGGCTAGATCAGAGGAGCAGGTTGATACAGATACTTTCACAGCAGGAATCTGTTTGCTCATGATGAAGTACAGCCAGATGATCCTGGCCTCTCTTTTCTTGCATCTGCTTCTGTTCTCAGGCTAACTTGTCTAGAGGTGGATGATCAATAAACCAGTATTGACCAGCTAGTTCATAGCTACAAGAGGCACTGAAGGTCAATACCAAACAAAAAGGAAGAACATGAGATCATTGGCTTGGATTTTCAAAGTCTATTTCCCTTTTCTGCTTTCTCAGCCCTTCTCTTCTCTTTCTGCTCATTTGTTATTCCTGTTTCCCAGGCATGATTTTATCCCTCAGAAGAATAATTAGTTGACAGGAGATTGTGTTCCATAGTTCTTGTACTTTTCCCAAGTATTATAGGAGGTTTTCTGTAAAGTCCTAAAACTGATTGAAATAGTGAGCATTCGCATCTAAACACTTTCTAAGTGATATTACAGATAACCACATGATTTTTAAAAGAACATCTTACATGCAGCCTTGGAAAATGTGGACTGGAAGGTAGGTGATGTGGCTATTTTTTCTCTTTTCTTCATGCTGTCATAGAATACATTCAGTAGCTCAGTTACAAAGATGACAACTTTAACTTTTTTTAATGATGGAGTAGAATGTTTCCGTGTGAAGTCTACAATAGCATTGATTATGTCGTCAGCAACTCTGATTGGGTTTTTCCCAGCATTTCCTGGAAAAAAAATTTAAGTGACAAAAATAGTTTCAGCTGGTGTAGGTCATGTGATCAGATTTGGCAAATGCAGTTCTTGATGCCGAGAAAGAGGAAAGCAACACCTGACAGCCAGAAACTGACCTGGCACTCATAGCTGGGTCTTGGTGTTCTCCAGCTGAACACAAATTATTTCATAGAGCATCATCGAATCCACTCTGTAACCATGATGAATTAAGCCAAAAGGAGACTGCTGCATAGTCATGTCTGACCACAGACAAAAATATGAACACTATCCAAACCACCATAAATGGCTCAACACCCCCATCTTAACTAATATGAACAATCGTTCTTCGTTACCAATCACAGCTTTCGCTACACTCTTCTCTTCTTCCAGATAATATACCTAATCATAGAATTATGTCTGCTTCCTGAAAGCATCCAATCCAAAGCAAAGCCCTACTTACTTGTGACTGCCATGAAGTTGCCTAGCACAAGCTCAAATCTATTAACAAGTCCTTTCCACAACCTCTTGCTGAGATGCTGAATACATCCCCATAGTGTGTACTCCTAGTGGTTTTAGCTGAAGGGCATTGAAAGTACAGATAAAAGAACATGCTATTTGGATGCAGAAGATCTGGGTTTATGTCCTGGCTCTCCACTGATTTACTGTGTGATCTTAGATAAGTCATTTGATCTCACATATTAGTTTGCTAGGGCTCCCATAACAAAGTGCCATGGACTGGGGGCTCAAGCAACAGAAATTCATATTCTTAAAATTCTGGAAGCTAAAAGTCTGAGATCAATGTGTTGGAAAGATTCATTTCTTCTGAGGCCTCTCTTCTAGGCTAGTGGATGGCCATCTTCTGACTGTCTCCACATGGTCTTCCTTCTGTAGTTATCAATGTCCTAATCTCCTCTTCTAACAAGGACACCAGTTACACTGGATTAGGGACCACTCTAATAACCTCATTTTAACTTAATTACCTCTTAAAAGGCTGTATCTCCAAATACAGTCACATTCTGAAGCAGGAATTAAGGCCTCAATAGATGAATTTTGGGGGACACAACACCTCTAAACTTCAGTTTACTCAGCTATAAAATTGGAGATAGTAGATATTAGAGAGAAGACAATGTTAGCTAAGACAATAATAATTAAGAACATAATGGTAAAAAAATAAAAGGTAATGTAGAAAAAAAGTAATAGTTGAAATGTACAGGCTATGCTGCCTAGGTTTGAACTTAGTTATGTTGCCTTCTAGCTGTGTGACCTTATGCTTTCATACTTTAAGTTCTTATCTATCAGTGGGGGAAACTAATAGTCAAGGCTAGGTCCAAGTTATGTAAGTTTTGAAATGTATACATCTCAGAAGAAGAACACAAAATTACAAATAGGAAATTAAGATAAAAGTGAATATTTAGAATCAGAAAAGAAATCACAACTAAGTATGAATTTTTAAATGTTGAAAACGTATTCCTATGTCATCTTTCTTAGCTGTTTTCCAAAAATGCTTGCTGCCACTCCAACACCCAGTGCCCAGGAAAAACTGAGAACTCAAAGTAAGAAGTAACAGTGGTCTTAGCCGGTGGTGATCTCACTTTTGAAGTTTTACTAAATCATATAAGCATGTGAAGGCATCATTAGGGTCCCTCTCAGGGCTTTTTTAAAAGTATGTGCAATTGGGTGTGAATGAATCAGGGAGTGAGCTATTAACATCTTCAACTAGGAGCAAATGATTGTATGATATGATAGAAATGATGAGGAAAGTGTTCCTAGAAACTGTGAGCAGGATGAGTCTGCGCTTGTTGGTTAAGGATAGAGACTGCATCTTAGTCGTGCTTTATACAGAGTGCCTTGCACAGGGCCTGGGTAACTGCATTTCAATCTAATGACTCCACAAATGAGGACCCAATTAGGAAACACAGCAGCAAACCAGTTGGGAGTGGTCTTATGGGTTTGGAAATGAAAAAGAAGGCTGAAACTGAACTACCCTCTGGAAGAAGATTTAATAGGACCTGCTGACTACAGGGGTCTGGGACACAAAGAAGCAAGCGTGGCAGGACAGCTGAGAGTTCATGGCGCCACCAAAGGAGGAAACTAGAAAATTAGACAACTCAAGGGATGATGATGAGTTTGGATTGTAATATCAGCATGTTTCTGGTGACAGAGAAATCTCCCTGAGGAGATTCTGGAGAAGGCTAGAAATGCTGATTTGGGAGTCAGTGCTGAAATGGTCATTGATACTAGTGTAATGAGAATAAATGAGTCACCCAAAGGGGAAAAAAATGAACAGTGAGAAAACCATGATGTTAAGGGCCAAACATGGGAAGATACTTAGGAAACCTAAAATAAAGAAAAAGATGGATAAAAGAGGCACAGGACCCACAGATGGCCCTAGAAGGGTCTGACAGGTTGCTTGCCCACTTTCTGATTTGTATCATTATCGCTTTCTGGACTCAGCATTGAGTTCATTAAAAGTGAAACTGTCTAAAGGAATCTGGGTTATTCTGAATCTTTGGGTGATGAGAGGCTGCAAACCTGTTCCAATGGCAGGAAGGGCAACAGATGTGTGCTTCCTCTGTTCACACTCTTCTAGAACACTGGAAACTGATTTCCTGACATCATTTTCTCCAAGGACATGAATTATTATATCACACGATAGGAATCCACCTTGTGTAACTATAAAATCTCTGTGAGGCTGTGTCGCTGGAAAAAAAGAGGAAACACACACAGCACATTAGTTACGGAAAGCAACACTGATTTTTGAGAAACGAAAATAGCTGACAAAGGAAAAAGCCCTGAAGATTCCTGACCAAGTGTAACCTCCCTCGATCTAGCTGGTTTCACTCTCTGGGACTGTGACAGGCTCATTTCCTTTACAATCCAAGTTATTCATTAATGAATAGTTTGGGTGCTCTTCAAAAGCACTCCACCGGTGTTAATTCACTCAATCCTCAAAGCAAGCCTATGACGTAGGTTCTGTTTTCTCCATTTCACAGATTAACAGGTGGTTAAGGTCAGCAGCCGAAGACTGCCCAGGATTTGAACCCAAGCAGTTAGTATCCAGAGCTCTCAGCACCCACTCTACTGTCCAGGAGAGTAATTTATACCTCATTCAGCCAGATTCATTTTTCAAGGAGGTAAAGGTAATAAATATACTGTGTGGTGTGGAGGTGTGAAAGCATGAAAACTTCCCCTCCCACAGAACCCATAGAGCTCTTGAGCACATGGAAATTATCAGGGCTTGTTTTAAGGCACCACCTTCTGGTACTCTGAGCAAAGCAAGGCTCCAGGAAAATGCGGGAGGAGGAGAACTGGTCTCTGCCCACCCGACCCCGCCCTCCTGGTGAGCTTCCATTGAGCAGGCACTCACTGCTGCCCTCAGGTGTCCACCTGCTGTCCTCTCCCAGGTATCATCCTTAGACTATTCCAGCTGTCAGCCCAGCTTCATGCTCTGCTTCTGCCTTTCAAGGTACAGCTAGCTCTTGCAGCACACAAATAAATCCCTGCTGATGTCCTCATGTTGGGACCAATGTTACCATCCTCTGATCTCTCTCCAGGAATTTATTCATTCCAGAGAAAATGTCTTAATCAGAGGAGAGTTATTAAGGTGGGAGTTTCAGGCACAACAATAGGTCAGTTGTGGGAATGTGTTGTCAAACATGTGTCTTCTCCAAATCACACTCAGAACTGACTGTCTACTCTGCAAGGTTCAGTCCTGGTTTTGAAGGATGAATAGTTTATGCTCACTCTTACAGGTTCTTCACCATGCTATAATAAAAAATAAATATTTCGTCCCTGGCTCCTGGTTCAGAGTTCCTGGGACCCTTCAAATCCCCTGAGTGATAAGAGTATCTTTTATACATTAATGAGATGACTCCTGGAGGCTGGGGAGTGGAGCTAGATAGCTCCCGAAAGACCAAGCCATCTTTCTAGGATTGGAACTCTCAGCCCCACCCCCTGACCTCTAGGGACTGGAGAGGGGCTAGAGATTGAGCTCAGTCACAAATCCGATGGTTTATCAATCATGCCCACGCAATGACAACTCCATAAAAACCCATAGACAACAGAGTTCAGGAGCTTCCTGGTTGTCAAGCACCTCTAGGTGCAAGTAGGGTGGTGCATCTGAAAAGGGCATGGAAGCTCTGTGCCCCTTTCCCCATACCCTGTCCTGTGCTGGCATAAAATTGTAGGTGCACTCCTGCCTGGGGTGCCACACCAGCAAACTGAACTTTCAAACCAAACCCTCCTTTTCCTATAAATGCTCCATTTGGCCAGAAACTTAGTATATCCAGTCAGCCAATCCCCAAACACCAACTCTGAATCAACTCTAAGCACTATATTTATTTCCTTGTTTCCTGATCTTTCTAACTAAAGTCCAATATACAACCCCAGCCAATCACACACTGTTTCCATGGTCCTACTTCCAATCCTCCAAAAAACTCGCTCTTGCCCACAGTCCCTCAGAAAGAGCGCTCCACGCTTGTAAGGCACTGCACTCCCCTCCATGGGTTGTTTTCATAAATACAGGACCTCACAGTCATTATTAAATTGTTTTAGTTTTGTCATTTGACACATTTCTTTCACTTGGCTGTTCCTTTATAATAAACTGGGAAAGGTAAAAAACGTGTTTTTACAGAGTTCTATGAATTATTCTAGTAAATTGTTGGACCTGAGAAGGAGTTATCTGGAACCTCTAAATTTATAGCCGTCAGAAGTACAGGTGGCCCCTGGGACTTAAAACTGGCATTTGAAGGTGGGGCCAATCATGTGGAAGTAAGACCTTTAACTTGTGGGATCTGGTACCAGTTCAGGGAGGTAGTGTCAGGAGTGGAGAATTGGTTGGTGTCAGAAAACCCCTCAGACCCACACAGGCTCCCTTATTTATTCATAAAAGGAGTAAAACTCAGGTAATGCTGTGCGATGTGAAGTAGAACAAGACTGGGGAAAGTAAAAGGTCATTTATACAGCACTTTACAGCTTACAAAACTTTTTTTACATTCATTTTTCCTTCTCATCCTCGCAAGCACATGTGGGACAGCCATTATCATACTCCTCGTCAGTAGAACCGTCTTATGGGTGAAAGAAGAGAAGCAAAGCTTGAGGAGGATCCCTGAGTATAAGGTGGAGCCTGGATTATCAAGACCCAGGCCTGGGATCTTTTTAATTTTTAGGAAGAGACAGGTGGGATGGCAGGATAAGGAACTCTTCGCCACAGCCACCACGTCATATACCACCTAAGTCTCCTCACCCAGGGAACCCACCTTCTGCCAAAGTGCTCACCACTTACTCCACCCATAGATCCTCTCACAGTAGTCTCAGCCCTTTAATTTTCAATAGGTTGTAAGCAAAAGCAACATAAGATCATACCTAGTACAGCACATTCATCTTCCACAGCTGGTCCAGCACCTTCTAAAATTGCCTTTGACACCCCTACAGAAGACATATTAATGATATAAAGCATCTGTTAAAATTCAATAAGTAGTAATAGCTTTTGTACATTAGACTTTTATTCAGCTCACCCTTTGCATAATCCATTGATGTCCCCCTCCTTAGCAAATCACCTTTCTATAGCTGCCTTCATTCAATGGCAGATGAATAAACAATCTGATCCACATGATGAGGGCACTGCCCAATAGCTGAAAGTCTCCAGTGTCTGCAGCTTTACTGGGATATTTCTGCAGTTATTTAAGTTTTATTTATTTATTTTTTTGCATTCTATGCTTACTATTTTACAAAATTGAATAAAAATATTAAAATAAAAGTTCTGATACGAATGAGAAACATGGATCTCAAAACTATAATAACCCTGAGCAATTTACTAAAGTTCTTTGATTTTGTTATTTAATTTTGTTTGGCTGGGTTTTTCACAATTAGACAGAGAGTTGGCTGGCTTCAATCCAATGCATCTTCCGATCAAGGCTGCAGCCTCACCACCTTGGTCACGTCTAAGGACAGGTGGGTTCAGTGGTTGAAAACATGGTCTTTGCATTTTGACACACTGGCTTGGCGTTGACTCCACCACTTACTAGCTAATAGATGACTAGTCAGTTCCTCATCTGTTACACAAAGGCTGGCATAGTACTTTTCCTACAGGGCTGTTGAACATTGAAAGAGATAATGGATGAAAAATACTTAGCACAGAATCTAGCACACAGAAAGTACTGAATAAATGTTAGTTATTTTATCATCATGAAGATCTATTGATCTATTATCTATCTATCTATCTATCTATCTATCTATCTATCTATCTATCATCTATCTATCTATCTATCTATCATCTATCTATCTACCTATCTATCCATATCTCCTTGATTATGAATTGTCTCTTTTAAAACATCTCCTTTTTTCAGTTTGTTTTGGTCTCTGACTTTGCAATGGTGGAGGTTTTTCTCAAATAGGTGACATTTGTCACTCCATTCATATGTAAGAGTGATTTTGGAAGCTCCATGTGCAGGAGGCTTGCTGACTGATAGGCTTCAGTGTAAGGTGAGCAGGCAGTAACTACTGGCCTTTAGGATGGTCAGGTTCACCCCAGAAGGATACTCCCATCTCCTGTCTGGGGGGCATAAGCCCATCTGCTGCTCTGAGAGCCCCACAGGGATAGGGGCTGGGCACTCACTGTTCACTACAGACACCTCACTGAAACCCTGTTTTCAGTCTAGCTCCCCATCCTCATCTCACCTGTTCCCAGTGTGCTAAGTCTGGAAAGCTCTCTGGTTCAGTGTCTCTAAAAAAATTACACCTCCCATCTCAGGTTAGGAAAGAGCAAAGGAAGTTACTGCTGCACAGGATGGGGGATAGCATCAAAGGTCTGAGTGCTACTGATTCAGAATTCCATCCAATTCCATTTTCACCTCTTTTTATCCCCTGCCTTCCCAGGTTCCTGCTGCCTCCCGTTCCTGTGTTTCTAGGGGCTGCTGTTCTCTCCTGCAGGTACTCAGTGTTCTCCATTCTGTCAGCTACCTCCACTAGCTAGCTGCTTACCATCTTGTGAAAATATGTTGCTATCTCTGTTTACTGTTGTTTTCCCTCCAACTCTCTTTCTCTGTGGGTTTATACCCTTTTAATTCCTTTACAGTTGCTCTGTCAGAGTTTCAAGAGGGGGGAAAAAAATAAATGCATACATTCAATTTACTATGTTTTAAATAATTGAATGTTCTTTATGGCTTTTAAAAAATTGAATGGAGCCCTAGCCTGTTTGGCTCAGTGGATAGAGTGTCGGCCTATAGACCAAAGGATCCCAGTCAAGGCAGGTTGGTTGCAGGCTCCTCCCTGGCCCAGGCCCTGGTCAGGGCACCTGCAGGAGGCAACCAATTGATGTGTTTCTCTCACATCGATGTTTCTCTCTGTCTTTCCCTCTCTCTTCCACTCTCTCTAAAAGATCAACAGAAAAATATCCTTGGGTGAGGATTAACAAAAAAAAATTTTTTTTTTGAATGGACATTTTACAGATTCACTTCTGCATGGTAAGTTCCATAATATTTTGAGATTTATAAAATGTTTAAAAATGTTTAAATCTTTATTGTTGAAAGTATTACATATGTCCCCATTTTTCCCCCATTGACCCCTTCTAGCTTGCCCTGGTCCCCCACCCCAGGCCTTTACCATGTTACTGTCTATGTTCATGGGTTATGTATATCTACACATACAAGTTCTTTGGTTGATCTCTTCCCACACAGCCAGCCACCCTATGCTTTATCTTGCCCTTTTAATTTAAAAATTAGTGTTTTATAGTATACAAGATGTATCCGCATATGAGCAATGTATATAAGTTATAAATAAATAGACATGTGGCGAGGGCATGTTCAAAAGTGTTATATCAAAGGGGCTGGTCAAATATTTTAGGGAAAATTAAGAAAAAGAGGTTGAATTTCATTTGGGTCAGTATAGTATAGAGAACAGTTATGGGAGGTGAGATGTGAGTACCAACATAAAAAAGGGAAATAAAAATAGAAGAACTTAAAGCTGATTAAATTGTATGTGTGTAATTTTGATAGTTCAGAGCTAAGAAGGGGATGAGAGCTGACACTAAGTATAATGCATTAGGTACACCCCACCTTTACATCACTTATACCCCATCTATGCTTCTTTGGGAGTAGGCATTTGACAGGCAGAGGAAGTCCAGCTCAGAGAGGTTAAGTGATTTGTCCAAGGCCACAAGATGGTAAGTGGCACAGCCTGGATTCAAAGCCAGCTCTTTCTGATTCCAAGGCCTGCATATTTACTACACACCTCTCTGTCTACTCAGGGAAATATTAGCCACCATTTCCCTTCCAGAAATTAGTTGTATTAATAGTTACAAATAAGTATATAACTTAAATGAAGTACCTGATTTCAGGTTAAACATCCTTGTTGTTGAGTTTACAATAACATCTGCACTTTCTTTTGCGATATCTCCAATAGCAACCTGGAAAGTAATCGCACCAATTTTCATTTCACACTCTGTGGGCCAAGAGCAAGTGACAGTCCCAAAGATACCTGAAAAGAAAGAAGATGGATGAAGGAGCAGCTGGCTTCTGCAGGAAAAACACGAAGGGTCTCCGCTCTCTTCCTTTCCCCTCAAAATAAATCCAAACATTACCATGTCTCCTAGTCTATTAAGCAGCTGGGTGTTTTTTTTTTGTGTGTGTGTGTGTGTGTGTTTTGTGTGTTTTTTTTTTAAATATATTTTATTGATTTTTTACAGAGAGAAAGGGAGAGAGACAGAGAGCTAGAAACATCGATGAGAGAGAAACATCGATCAGCCACCTCCTGCACATCTCCCAATGGGGATGTGCCCGCAACCCAGGTACATGCCCTTGACCGGAATCGAACCTGGGACGTTTCAGTCCGCAGGCCGATGCTCTATCCACTGAGCCAAACCGGTTTTGGCTGGGTGTTCTTTTTTAAGGAAATCAGAAAACAATGCTTTGTAGCAGTAGGAATATCTACGTTTTCTCAGTTAAATAGGATGAGGCAGAAACATCTGATTGACCATCTATTTGTCTGCAAAAGTTGCTGTGGTGTCAGGAGTGAGAAAGAAGGTGAGAGAGCAAAGTATACTCTCATTTCATGCTGACATTTCTGGGAGATTCTTTTTTTTATTTTTCAGCTTTATTGATATATGGTAGACAAAAATTGTATATATTTAAGGTGTGGATTGTCAGTTTTCATTGTGAAATGATGCCACAATTGAGCTGATTAACACACCCATTCTCACACAGCTGTCGTGTGTGTGTGTGTGTGTGTGTGTGTGTGTGTGTGTGTGTTGTGAACCTTTGAGATCCACTCTCTTAGAAAATTTCAAGTATTTGATACATTATTATTAAGTGTATTCCCCATGCTATATATTAGGTCTCCAGAGTTTATTCATCTTATAACTGAAAGTTGGGAAATCCTTTTATTACCATTTTACAAAAAGGAAAAATGGTCAGAGTGGCTAGGTCATTTGTTCAATGTTAAACAACAGCTCACTAATCAACATGAGCTTTTCCTCCCCCTTCATATCCCACTGGAATAGCAATATCAAGACTGCTCTGGGAAAATTACCTTTAGCATGTTGACATATCACTGTCCACTCTACACTCTGAGGCTTTACAACTTAGATGTGCCATTTCTACTAATGCCATAAACTCTTTACACCTCCATTTCCACATTTATACAATGGCAACAGAACCAATCACCTGCCCATGGGGCCATGGTATAAGTTTAAATAATATAATACATATGAAAGCAATCAGTGAAGTTTAGTGTGCCATGCAAATTTCAGTTATCTTTTAATATCATACTAAAGGCCTGGTGGACAAAATTCGTGCACTTGGCGGGGAGGGGGAGATCCCTCAGCCTGGGCTGCGCTCGCCAGCCGTGAGCCCCTTCCGGCTGAGTGGCACTCCCTCTGTAAAAGCGAATTGACCACTAGGGGGCAGCTCCTGCATTGAGCATCTGCCCCCTGGTGGTCAGTGTGCATAATAGCGACCAGTCATTCCACTGTTCAGTCGATTTGCATATTAGCCTTTTATTATATAGGATCTTAGAAATTCTGGCCTCATTAGCAGTGATTTCATTCACAACAATATGATCTATTCTTTGGAATGCACTGACACTTTCTCCATTACTGATTTGTTCTTCACGGGGATTTGTCTCTTTCTATGGGACTTCAACTAACACCAAAGAGTTACTAAGCAAAGGGAAATATTGCCCCAGCAGAACAACTTGACCAGCCAGACCTTGGGTATTTCCAACCATGAGAATCTTCTCCTTGGGATTTCCACTCGACCATCTAGTGAATTTATCTAAAAATGCCTAGATAGAAAGAAACACAGTTACTGACCACAACAATGCTCTGTAGAAATATCAGCCCAGTTTTTTGGAACATGGAGAATCAAACATCAAACAGAAACGATTGTTCTCAATAGATTTTCTCCTTATTTCAGAGACTTTTTAATCAAAGGGTTATGATTCAATTTAGGAATTTCCTAAATACCAGTGCTGACTTATATTATTTCATGGGAAGACCACACTTGTATGGGCAACCAACACTTATGGGCAAGGAAGTAGAAAATGCTGTTATTTATACATCTACCAAAGACATCAGATTGCACTTAGGTTTGCTTGCCAGAATGAACAGAAGAGACATGTAACCATACCTTATGGCTTTCATCATCATCGAGATGTACCAGAAAGTGAACTTTTTGTAAGGTTTTCAGCCACGCACTGCTACTAAATTTGGACACTTCTGACAGGATTAGTTCAGCAAATACAGCTTTGGGAAACCCCAGATTTCCTGTTGCAATCATGGGAAATGTGATTGATGAGAAAGATAGCTGTTCTACAGTCATCAAACATTTCTTGATTATATTTGCCATTATCTGAAATGTACAAAATGCGTTTATATAAGTTAGGGCTCAAGCTGGCAGAAAACAGAAAAACTGTGGTTACAGCAACCCTGACCAGGACCTCTCTGTTATCCTAGGCTTTGTCAGGGCCTATGGGATCAGAAAGAGAAACCAAGAAGAGGGGAGAGGACTTTCAGAGAGATTCAAACTCATGCAGGAGAGAGGGCCCACCAGTATGGAAATGGTTATGAGTATCTCATTGTAATTAAAATTGATGTTTATGAAGAGTTTTAAATAACATGGGCAAGTGTTTATGTTATGTAAAAAAGGCAGGATTAAAAATGGAAGAATATATCAACTACAAATAAATATGCATAAAACTGAATTGAAGGTAATACAGTAAAATGTTAAAGTTATCTCTACGTGGCTGGATTATGATTTTTATTTTCGTGCTTTCTGTGTATTTCCTGCAATGTACACATATTACTTTATATTCTGAAAAAAAAGTTGTGGGGGTTAAATTATGAATAGAGATGAGAATTAGGTCATCAAAAGAAGGGCACTGACCCTTTTTCATTCTACACCACAGTTTTGGCTGCATTTCTTAGTTATACCGAAGGATTATTATGCTAATCTAATCTTCAGATACCATTTCTGGAGAATCCCAATGATTGCTATTACTTTTAAGGGTCAATTGCTCTGAAATAACTGAGAGTTGTGATGGACTCTTCACGAAAGGTAATAAAGATTTCAACAAATAGACAGGGTAAAGTACATGTTAGGGTTTCTCAACCTGGGCCAGATAATTGTTTGTTGTGGAGACTGGCATATGCCTTGTAGGGGATTTAGCGGTAGTCCTGGCCTTTACCCCTAGCTACCAGTAGCAGTTATAACAGGCCAAATGTTCCCCTGTGAGATAAATTCGCTTTGGTTGAGAACCAGAGATCTATACCATGCAAGGAGATTTACCAATTTTATAAAATGAAATGGAGAACTAAGAACTTTTTCTACCTGCCAAGAAGACCCTGCTCCATTATCCCAGTCTGGAGCCACAACATGGAGCACAGCTTTGCAGTTCAGATTGCAGCCACTTGTCATGAATATGCTACCCACTTCCTCCTCTGTTTCCTGTCTGGTGGCATTTAACTCTTCCTGGAGCATGGGACCAGCTTTACACAAAAGAGACTGAGAGAGTGATCCTCTTCCAAGCTGAAGATCCGTGGGTACAGTGTTGACAATGACATCGGCCTTAATGAAAACAGCAACAATTTGTTAGAGGTTGAATCAATAAATAACTGCTGAGCACCTTTGACCTGCTAAGTATTGTGGGGTACTGCACAAGCTATGCTTTGCATCTCATACTGACCTACCCTCAGAGAGCTTACAATTTCTTGTTAGTGCTTAGCCAGTGGTTCTCAACCTTCTAGCCCTTTAAATACAGTTCCTCATGTTGTGACCCCAACCATAAAATTATTTTCGTTGCTACTTCATAACTGTAATTTTGCTACTGTTATGAATCATAATGTAAATATCTGATATGCAGGATGGTCTTAGGCGACCCCTGTGAAAGGGTCGTTTGACCGCCAAAGGGGTCGCGACCCACAGGTTGAGAACCGCTGGCTTAGACACTATAGTGAGGTGAGCCCCAAAATTTAAAAATTAAGGAAATACATACCCACTACCATCAAGTCAAAAAGTTATGAGTCAGAGTAGAGCTATGAAAATGACTGAAACACCCAGAGACACAAAATGAAAGGCAGAGGCAGAAAGAGAAACACACAGGAAGATTGAGAGAGACTGAGGAAGAAAGAATTGCTTTTAGGCAGGCAGGAACTGAGAATAATTATTTTGAACACATTAATACTAGTATACATAAAGAAAGAATGGGTCCATCTGAAAGGGGGTTTCTGATCAGCCTTAAAGGCCTAGACCAAGGACGGTCACTGGAGTGAAGGTCGGCTGGGTCCATGCAGCCTGTCCTAAGGCACTCAGTTCTCCAATGTCTGTGCCAAGACCATCTCTTTGATGAGATGGGGTCATGGCCTGATGCCAATAGATATTAGATATTCAATTCATCTAATTTCACTTATTCCAATTTTTTTTCAAATTTGGAGGGAGAACACTGATCATATGGATTTTGAGGATTCTGGTCCCTTGGGGAGCTCTTCCTCATTGTAAATGAAAAAGTGTTTATGTCTTGGGGCCATATTATAGTTCTATTTCACACTCCAAGTTAACAATCAGCACTCACGGGTCCACCACAATCTTATATGAAGTTAGTTAACATAAACTAATCTCTGGACCCAAGAAGGTCCTTGCAGGGACAAGAGTGAGTGAGGCTTCCAAAAACAAAAAAACTAGATCCAGCCCACTTTCGTCTCACTCCCACTTACAGCCTCCCTCTCTGCTTACTGATTCAATATACTAACATGTAAAAGGTAAAATGGCCTTAATGTTCAAATCAGTTCAAGATAACAAAAAAAAAACCTGTGTGTTAAATATACAATTATTAATTGCTATAGAATTTCCAAAAAAGAATAGGTATTTAGATTAGATTTTTTAAAAATATATATTTTATTGATTTTTTACAGAGAAGAAGGGAGAGAGATAGAGAGTTAGAAACATTGATGACAGAGAAAAATCGATCAGCTGCCTCCTGCACACCTTCTACTGGGGATGTGCCCGCAACCAAGGTACATGCCTTTGACTGGAATCGAACTTGGGACCTTTCAGTCCACGGGCCAACGCTCTATCCACTGAGCCAAACCGGTTACAGCTAGGTTAGATTGTTTAGTAAAGTCTTTACAAAAAGGATAATGGATAGAACTAATACAGGTAGAAAGAAGGCAGGAAAGCAGTCTAAGTGGGTACTATTTAAGAAAATACATGGAATTGAGGAAGGTCAGAAAGTTGGCCCATTTAACTAAAAGAGAGTCTCAATGGTGAGACACAGGGCTGGGAACAGATTTAGGGCCAGATGATGGAGGACTCTGAAAAGCCACCTTTTTCTGGACTTTATCCTATAGGCACTATAGAGCATCTGATACAACGTTTTTGGAATATGCATCAAACAGCAATGTAGAGGATAAATTGGAGTGTGAGAGACTAAAGGCACGGTGGTGAGGCCAGTAACAAGGGAATGAAAAGGAAAGGGTGTGTACAAGAGACCTGTGCAAGGAAGCTTGGAAACTCACTTGATAGGGAAAGGAATTCAGAGACGAGTTTAAGAGGATTCCAAAGTTTATACAGCCTCATCCATTGGTGAGAATAGGTAGCCTGGCATGATTTGACAAGAATTTAACAATCAATAGACCAACTGTGTAGTGGAAAGACCGAGATCAGTATTGGGGCAGTATCTGAACCCTGCCAGTATTGGCTTTACAATTGGTCTGCATAAGCACTACACTTTGCCAATTCCTAGAGTGACAGAGAAATTTAGTGAACTTTTGTGTCATTCAGTTTCTTTCTAGTCTGATTATATTCACCAAGCAATCTCATAAGAGTCATCTAAAGAGCTCACCATTACCAGTAGCAATGGCAATTATCTTTCTCGTTGCCAATTAAATAATTGCAATTACATTTTACAAATGAGTCATTTGAGTTTGACTGTCAGGCCAGGTTTGGTTACAATGACAAGATTCAACTTCTCAACCTGTAGATCTGAGGACAAAGTCCTGAACCCATGTAACAAAAGAGTCTATGGACTCTATTTATTTTAGAGAACATGAAGAAAGTAGCTGCCTGACTCGCCTCTGCCATCTCATTAGCTGCAACAAAAGTAAAAAAAAAAAAAAAAAAATCCAGAGGAGAAACCAAGAAGGGGGCATAGGTAAACACCGGAAATTGCTGCCTCCCACAACCACTTCAAAATACAACTAAAAGACAAAACGGACATCATCCAGAACCACAGGAAGGCTGGATGAGTGGAAATTCTACAACTAGAAGGAAAGAAAAGCACACTGAGACTCAGAGGAGGTGTGGAAGTAAAGTGCAGAGGTACGGAGGCGCACGTGGAAAGGGCTGGCAACTGAGGACACGGTTGTCTTTTTCAATTGGGAGGTAGTCTCAAGCTCCCGACTGCTCTGAAATCCAGTTCTGGGGACCCAGACTCATACGGGGAAAAACTGGACTGTCTGGCAGCAGGCGGAACACGAGGGCAGCTTTCTCTCAGGGCTGCTTGCAGCAATTACTGGGACACTGAGATGCGGGGCCTCTTAGGGTAGGACTGAGGAGCAGCCATAGCTGCTGCTCTGCCCTGTTGATCCCCTGACATCCCGCCCCACCCAAGTTGTGCTCAGAGGCTTTTGCATATGAAAGGCCTGGCCCTTTGCAATCTGAAAATTACCTAACAAACTGAAGCTGGGTCAGAGAGATCCAGAACTTCCTAAAGAAGGCCCAAGGCCCCACAGCAGCTTGCATTGCTTCACACCTGGGCCTCATCTGGGCACCTCCAAACCCCAAACGAAGAAGAGGAATCTGCAAATCTCTCCATAGCTCCTGCTGGGTAGCCTCAGGCAGAGGCTAAATTAGCACCTCCTTAGAGATCAAAGAGCCAGTGTACCCAGTGGTCAGAGTGAGATCATCCAGATTGCAGCTCCTCAGATCCATAAGGAACACACTCAAGGGGCAGACTCAGTGAGCACCAAAGCCCCACTGAAGCAAGCCTTGCCCCAGAAGGGTGTCTCCAGCACAGATGTTCTCCCACCCTAGACACAGCTGATTCTCACAGCCAATTGGCCTGGAGGTCAATTCCTCCCAGTGATACCTACAACAATCAAGGCTTAACTACAACAAGACTGTGCACACAGCCCACAAAGGGGTGCACCAAGAGTGTCCACCTCAGGTAATTGGGGAGGCTGAGCCACTGGGCCCTATAGGACACCTAGCACAGAAAGCCACGCTATCAACACAGGGAAGCAGCCAAAATGTGAAGACAAAGAAACAGGTCACAAATGACAGAAATGGAGGAAAGCAAATGACTGGATATGGAGTTCAAACCACACTTAAAAGGTTTATCAAGAATTTTCTAGAAACCACTGATAAATTTAGTGAAACCCTCAAGAAATCTAGTGAGACCCTCGAGGATATGAAAAAGGACCAACTAGAAATTAAGCATACACTGACTGAAATAAAGAATATTATTCAGAGTTCCAACAACAAACAAGAGGATCCCAAGAATCAAGTCAAAGATTTGAAATATGAAGAAGCAAAAAACACCCAACCAGAAAAACAAAAAGAAAAAAGAATCCAAAAATATGAAGATAGTGTAAGGACCCTCTGGGACAACTTCAAGCATACCAACATCCGAATTATGGGTGTGCCAGAAGAGGAGAGAGAGCAAGATATTGAAAACCTATTTGAAGTAATAATGACAGAAAACTTCCCCTACCTGGTGAAACAAATAGACTTACAAGTCCAGGAAGCACTGAGAACCCCAAACAAAAGGAATCCAAAGTGGACCACACCAAGACACATCATCATTAAAATGCCAAGAGCAAAAGACAAAGAGAAAATCTTAAAAGCAGCAAGAGAAAAAAAGTCAGTTACCTACAAGGGAGTACCCATACGATTGTCAGCTGATTTCTCAACAGAAACTATGCAGGCCAGAAGGGAGTGGCAAGAAATATTCAAAGTGATGAATACCAAGAACCTACAACCAAGATTACTTTACCCAGCAAAGCTATCATTCAGAATTGAAGGTCAGATAAAGAGCTTCACAGATAAGAAAAAGCTAAAGCAGTTCATCACCACCAAACCAGTATTATATGAAATGCTGAAGGGTATTCTTTAAGAAGAGGAAGAAGAAGAAAAAGATAAAGATCTAAATTATGAACAACAAATACACATCTATCAACAAGTGAATCTAAAAATCAAGTGAATAAATAATCTGATGAACAGACTAAACTTGTGAATACAGTAGAATCAGGGGCAAAGAAAGGGAGTGGACTGACTATTCTTGGGGGGGGGAAGGGGTGTGGGGGTTGCGGGAAGAAACTGGACAAAAATTGTACACCTATGGATGAAGACAGTGGGGGAGGGGAGGTAAGGGCAGAGGGTGGGGTGGAAACCAGGTGGAGGGGAGCTAAGGGAGGAAAAAAGAGGAACTGTAATAATCTGAACAATAAAGATTTAATTTTAAAAAATCCAGTGGCTCATAATCCATAAGAGTCTCTAAATTTCTAAGAAATGTTCTCTACTCACTAGTCTTGAACGTGTGCCATCTTAAGGTAAATATCAAGTGTCAAAATGGTGGTGGCTATAGAATTCTGAAGACTTCAAATGAATTATAATTCTCAGCCCTAGCTACATATTGGAATCACCCAGAATGCTTTCAAAAACTACTAACACTTAGACCAGTGATGGCGAACCTATGACACGCATGTCAGAGGTGACACGTGAACTCATTTTTTTGCTTTATTTTTCTTTGTTAAATGGCATTTAAATATATAAAATAAATATCAAAAATATAAATCTTTGTTTTACTATGGTTGCAAATATCAAAAAATTTCTATATGTGACACGGCACCAGAGTTAAGTTAGGATTTTTCAAAATGCTGACATGCTGAGCTCAAAAGGTTCGCCATCACTGACTTAGACCATATACCTGACCAACTAAAATCTTGATCTGTAAGGATGGGGCCTGGGCATTGATATTTTTTAAAGTTTTCCAGGTGATTCTGAATTGCAGCCAGAATTGTTTCATGGGATGTCAACCTATATAGGGGGACACAGGGGTCTGCTAATTTGATGATTCCAGGAAAAGGGAAGCAAATAGGGAGGGACAGGGGGCAGGCAAAGAGCCGAGCTGAGCATTTAGTACCTGTACTGGTAACCTTTCTCCCTCCTCATTCCTCCTGTGCCTCAGAACGGGCTCACGCAGGAGCAACAGGGTGTGTTTGTGAAGGGTAATATTATGATGTGATATACATATGTCTTCCCCATTAATGCTGATAGAACACGAGAAGAAAACAGAGTTGGGCTGAGAGTAGGTCAAGATAAGTTATCTATAATAATAAAAGCATAATATGCAAATCGACAGAACAGCCGAATAGCAGAATGACCTTCCGGATGACCATGCTATGACACACACTAACGCCAGGCCAAGCGCAAGGCAGGTGCTATGTGATGGGGGGGGGGGGGGGGGCACCATTGCCCCACGATTGCCCCACAGAGGGAGGCCCAGGCCACTCTCTGCAAGGCAATCGATGGGGGGGAGGGCTCCATGATTGATCACCTCAAAGAGGGAGGCCCAGGCCACTGACTGGCGAGCTGCAGTGGATGGGCGGGTTCTCCCTCTGTGGGGCGATCCATCGCAAGGGCTCATGGACTACACTGTGAGAGGGCGCAGGCTGGGCTAAGCACCCCCCAACCCCCACCTCCAGACCCGCCAAGTTCATGAATTTCGTGCATGAGACCTCTAGTAGAGAAATAAAAGAGGTAGGTTTGTACAACCTGGTTTGTGGTTAAACTTGGATCTCCACACATGAGTATAGGTGGAAGAATATCAGAAATGGTAAGTATAATGCTGCATGAACCTCAGGTGGGTTTAACTTCTCAAACTTAAATGATCTTAATCGTTAACCTTAAATCACAGAACCAGTTCATTAGACCTCATTGTTCCTTTATAGATTTACTAAATAGAACCACTTACCTGAAAACATGAAACATTTCCACTTATCAACACGAGTTTCAGACCTTCTTTGGTTTTGCTTGAGGCTACCTTTTTGTTTAGGTTGTCGTGGTATTTTGACTGTGAAGAAAACAGTAAAAAACATTACCAGATAATGTGTCTAAAGACTTTCCTCATAGGTATTCAAATAAAAAATAACTAGTAGATTTCACAGACTTCTCTAACTCAACTCATAATCAGATTCAAAAGCAAGTAATTTATTATCACAATGCTTGAGTATAAACTGTATTTAATACCCCAGCTGCCAATGAGTTCTTTTACTTATTACCCCAAGAATCCTAGTCTAGCTGACCCTGTCCATTTCCCCTGACTTACTACTTAAGGGTGCCTCAGTCAGATTGGGAACTGTATTCCTGCCTGAGGACTTCCTGTATGTAGTGCCAACATCTGCTTTGCTTGCCAGTGTAGCAGAGAGGAAGTAAATTAAGCTGCCCTCCCTCACCCTCAAGCCCTCATTCAATGATTGACAGGAGCTGGTGTAAAACTATCCAAGCAATCTTGTCTCCCAGATAGGACTCACTCTGATTTCCCCAGTGGGAATAAGTGGTAACTGATTTGATAACACACCCTATCAGGGTTCTTTACTTTCCTATTTATTTATTTATTTTTATTTTTTATTTTTTTAAATATATTTTATTGATTTTTTACAGAGAGGAAGGGAGAGGGATAGAGAGTTAGAAACATCGATGAGAGAGAAACATCGATCAGCGGCCTCCTGCACACCCCCTAACTGGGAATGTGCCCGCAACCAAGGTACATGCCCTTGACCTGAATCGAACCTGGGACCCTTGAGTCCGCAGGCTCACACTCTATCCACTGAGCCAAACTGGTTAGGGCTACTTTCCTATTTAAGTCACTTGAACTTAAGCCTAGCTGGCATGACTCAGTGGTTGAGCGTCGACCTATGAACCAGGAAGTCATGGTTTGATTACCAGTCAGGGCACATGTCCTAGTTGCAGGCTTGATTCCCAGTGTGGTGTGTGCAGGAGGCAGCCAATCAATGATTCTCTCTCAACACTGATGCTTTTATCTCTCTCCCTCTTCCTTCCTTTCTGAAATCAATAAAAACATATATATTTTTAAATCACTTGCACTTGCATCTGTCTCAGGTCCTCTTCTGGGGGAACCACTGTAAGACACACCCTACAGTTTCCCATAATAATGCATTAGTTTAACTAGTAATCAGTCATATAATTTTAGGATTTAAAGAGTCAACACAGATCATCCAGTACAGAAACTTCATTCTTCTTAAAGGAAACCAGTGTGCAAAGACATGAAGCCACTTGCTCAAAGTCAAACTACTAGCTAATGAAAGAAAAACACAATACTTAAATCTGCTCTTCACAAAAGAGGAACTCAATGTTAAAAACATGCCACATGTCACACACACACACACACACACACACACAGTGACAGACATTATTCATTGGTAATAGCACTCTTTTTCAATCAACCCAGAAACAGTCTCAAAATCTTTCTCAACATGGAGCTCAGGCAACAACTATCATTTGATCAGCAATAATGCATGAAATGAAATGTATTTTCCATGTCTGATCTAGCTCAAAAAGGATATGAATTTTCTTTGCTTATAATAGTCTTAGAGAATTATTCACACTCTACATTGTGAAACACACAGAAAACTCCAGAAGGACTGGGAATGGGCTTCTTGAACCATCCTTTTCACTTTCTCCAGAATGCCATTCTTCACTTGTATTCTCCTTCATGCAATCTGGTATGTCTGGTGAAAGCATGAGCAATGATCTCCCACACTCGGAATTCCTTGGGTATGAACTCTTTCACAGGCACTGATATGAAGACTAGAAAACCTTTCAGCAGAACCAGTCACATTCTCTGTCACAATGTTTTGGCTGGTATCTTTAGTTGTGTTATAATTCTTTTCACATCCTCCAAACAACCTATTATTATGACCATTTCCTTGACATATCAATCAAAATTCTATCATCCTCTATGCTGTTTTTTTATGTCCTCCCATACCATTGGCTTCACATTCATTTTGGTGACTTGATATTTAGACACAATATGAGAAAATTTTTTAGAAACATTTCCATTCCAGGTCTTGATGACATTGACCTTTGTTCTTCCTTGAGTGAATTAGGCGGCCACAGACCTGAGTGTTACCTCCAGTTCTGTACAGCTGACTTGGGGTCATGTTACCTCACAGTGGCCCTTTCCCTTTTTATAATTGTCATTCCAATCAGGGGATACTTTCTCTGTAAGCTTCATCCTTATGAAAGGATCCAGGGCTACCAGGAACAATGCTGGCAACTTTCTGACAGTTCTTCCCTTCCATGTAAGGCTGTGTCCTAAGACACATAACAGGGAAATGCAGACATGAGCTTTCATTGGAGAAAGCTTTTGACAGTAGTGTCACACTAAAAATAAAAAAT